AACTTGCACCGCCCAGACGCGGGTGGATTAATTAGCCGGCGCTTTAGCCGAGTCTTCGGCAGACAAAACGGAGAAGTTAAGAACAACCTCGGTTTAATTTTTAATCTACCAATGAAGGGGAATATTGGTAGCTCAGGGTTGACATGAGGGGTCCTGCTTGCTGGTTTCCTTGCAGACATTTCATGACTCTAACTAGGTAATACCAGTGCTAGAAGACAGTGGGGGCTATGGGGAGGAGGAGGAGGGGGGGAGGACTGTGGGGTCCTTGGTGCTCTCTGAGCTTGGTGGTTTTTTTGCAGACGTTTCATTACCCAGCTAGGGAACATCATCAGTGCTAGAAGGGAGGAGGAGGAGGAGGACGACGACGACGACTGTGGGATCCTTGGTGCTCTCTGAGCTTGCTTGTTTTCTTGCAGACGTTTCATTACCCTAATTAGGTAACATCATCTAGCACTGATGACATTACTTAGCTTGGGTCATGAAACGTCTACAAGAAAACAAGCTCAGAGAGCACCAAGGACCCCCCCCCCCAATGTTTAGCCTGTTGCTTCCCTCCGTAGGGGGGGGGGGGAGAGAGAGAAATGAAGATAAAGTGGCAGCTTTTAGTTTCTTGCCCACTTTTTCTTTAATACCAAGCCGCACACCCCTTTCAGAATCTGTAAATCAATTTTTTTAAAAAGTTTTTTAGGGTTTAAAAAGGCAGATAAGTGTTAACCAGACATTACTGAGTCAGAACGCAGGTTCCCAGGGCAATCTAATTTCCGTTACCTATTTTGGGGTCAGTTTTCACTCCTTTTTTTTTTTTTGGTATCCTTCAAACTATGGTCTTTAAACTTAGGTTTATAAGGAACGGTTGCTAGAATTGGGTGTGCCTAGTTTAACGAAGAGAAGGACAAGGGGGGACATGAGAGCAGTCTTCCAATATCTCAGGGGCTGCCATAAAGAAGAGGGAGTCAAGCTATTCTCCAACGCGCCTGAAGGCAGGACAAGAAGCAGCGGGTGGAAACTCATCAAGGAGAGAAGCAACTTAGAACTAAGGAGAAACTTCCTGACAGCGAGAACAATTAACCAGTGGAACAACCTGCCTCCAAAAGCGGTGAATACTCCAACACTGGAAGTTTTTAAGAAGAGACTGGACAGCCATTTGTCCGAAATAGTGTAGGGTTTCCTGCCTGAGCAGGGGGTTGGACTAGATGACCTCCAAGGTCCCTTCCAACTTTACTATTATTACTATTACTATATTATTATTATTATTACTATTATTATTATTACTATTATTATTACTATGTCACTCGGAGCCTTAGTAGAAGGTGCTGTTACGGTTCCGGCTAATGAAACACTGCAAAGAACTTCCAGGCATTGATTTTCCTAAAAGTCTTTTGCATATTTAGCTTGCAAATATTGTATATTCTTGCTCTGACAGGTGCACGCGAACGAGTGAGCGGCGTGCTTGGCTTCCTCCACCGAGGAGGAACGTAGCTCGTAGCTCGTGCAGCTTTCTAGTTTAAGGTACACTAAAGGAATGCCAACTCAAGGCAACGGGGTTGAAATCAAGGCTGGAAATTCTGCGGAGGGAGCCGAAGCAGAACCACCTATTAGTATAGCCACCTGTAGTTGCAATAGGGCAGGACGTATGCTCTCCCCTCTCCACTTCTCCCCCCTAATAAAGTTGATGTCTTGATTGTAGGTGTGTGTGTGTGTTTTTTTTTTAATTTAAAGAGACGTTCAAAGAACGGGATCTCGCCTAACGGAGGACGTGTGAAATAATCTGGGAAACGAAACACGCCAGGCGATAAAGAACCGGCATAGGGCTGTGTGTGTGGGGTGTGTGTGTGTGTGTTTGGAGTGGATACGGAGCGCCTTATCCCCTTTCTCTCGACCTCTGTCTTTCCAGATTGGGGTTCTGCGGCTCTCCACTCGGCTTTAGGAATATGCAGAGATGAAGGGAGGCGAGGAGGCGAAAGAAAGGGGGGGGGGAGAGCGGGAGAAGTAAGGCGGGCGGGCGGGCGTGGGGGGGGGGGGAAGAGAAGCAAAGGCGGAAAATTCCCTCGGCTACTTGTTATAACATTTCTCCAGGAGGTTGGAGGGAAGTTGAAAGTCTGGTAACCGAAATCAAAACTAACAAGGAAATGGTCTGCGCCTCTCGTCTGGGCCCCAGCTTCTGGGGGCCTGGAGGGGGAATCGGCCGTCTTCCTCTTTGATTTGTAAAAAATGCATTACCTCCCAAATCAAACGGAAAATTACTGCAACTAAGGAGGGGAGGCTGAGAACGAGGGGGAGAGGGGAGGGCTGGGCCTTTGGGGACACCCGAGCAGCGCGCACCGGGCTGGCGGTGTGTGTGTGTGGGGTGTGTGTGTGTGTGTGCAGGATAGGAGATTTTGTAGGGAAGGGAAAGGGGGCGAACTGAAAACGGCGTGGAGCGCGGAGATGGGCAGCGCTCAGAAGGCGCGGCCGGAGCTGTCCCCGGTGCTGAAATCCGCCGCCGGCAGCCGGGACCTGCCAGGGTTTGTGTTGGTATTTGACGATCTCGAGCTACGCGTTTCCAATAACTAATCCAGTTAGTTAAACCAAGGCCTTCCGGTCTGATTTTCTAAATTACCTGGCTTCCAAATTTCACCTCTAAAAACACCAAGGATTTTTTTTTTTTAAATCCTTGTTTGGTTTCTGCTCTTCCTGTCTTTGACCCATTCCACTCCCGTGGGGGTGGAACGGGGTTGGTTGGTTTTGTCATGCTCCCTGGCCCGTGTTCGCACAACAGAATAAATAGATGTACAGTTATTCAAGCTTTGAGTACTAATCAAAGAGGCTGTTGAGTCTTTGCTGTGTTGTGTGAACACATTCAGGAATCACCTTTCTAGGGGACAGGCGGCGGGGGTGGATGGGTGAGGTGGGGCTGAAGACTATTTTAATGACTATTTTAATGATAGACAAAGAAGGGCTCTGTTTGCTCCCCCACACCCCGTCCGGTCTAGACTCCCCTATTTTAGTTCAAGAGATTTGCAAGGGTCAGATTAAGCATTTGGTGGCCTGTTCTTTGGGGGGTACTTGCAACCATCATGTTATTCTGTTTCCTCCTCTTTCATTCAACTATGAAGTTTTCACTGGGGGGGGGGGTGAAGAGACTGAGGGATTTTATTGGCACTTTCTCCTATTTCCACAGTTTTAAGAGGGGGGGCTCAAGAAGACTTAACTTGCCTTCCTGAAAAGAAACTGCGGTGGGCGGCCTTGTGACACCCGCACCCCAACTGGAATGCTAATCTTGACTCAGTGGAAGGTCAGGGTGGAAATCTGCCAGCTTCAACCGGAAATGAGGGTCAAGCAAAGCTTCTCTGATTAAGGCCGGATGTTTGGGCTGCTCTCTTGATTCGCACTGCTGGGAGCGAAACTTCGCTCTTCCCGTTCCGCAGCTTCAAGCGCGTATCACCCCTCATCCCTTTCCATATCTGTGCCCTATGACAGTGTTTCCCAAACTTGACCATGTTAAGGCATGTGGACTTCAACTCCCAGAATTCCACAGCCAGCATTGCTGGCTGTGGAATTCTGGGAGTTGAAGTCCACATGCCTTAAAATGGTCAAGTTTGGGAAACACTGCCCTAAGAGATTGGGGACCCTGATCCTGGGGGGGAGGGGTTGTCTCCCGAGTCCTCTGCTGGTATGTTGTTTTTTTTTCTCCCCTGGCAACGATGAACAAAACGGGAGCTGGCCTTTATATAAAACGGCACCTCCAAGCAGCTTTGCCGCGGTGGGCTTTGCGGAGGCCGGTTCTAATCCCGCCATTTCCACACCCGTGAATTATAGCGCCGTCTGAGCATCGCGGGGCCGATCTCTCCGTAATGGAGACGGCTTTAGATTGTCTGGATAACGGATGGCCGGACTGTTTTAAGGGATCGAGATCAATTTCTCACCCGTGATTTAGAGAGCCTTCTACTAAACACCCAGCCCCGTTTTGACGCAACAAAGTCTGCCTTTAACACGAGTTGGGTTGTCGATTTTTTTTCCCCTTGACACAGCAGGGATTGGGTGACGGCGCTGGAAACCCCTCGCGTGTGGAAGCAGCCGAAAAAAAGGGTGCTTACACTGAAATACACGCGCTGGAAACTGCCCTGACTGAACGAAGCGTGTTCGCACGTGCAGATAGATACGAGCTTCCTTTGAATGAGAGAGCCAAACGCAGCTAACCCGGCAGCGCTGGGGAGGGGGGGGAGGACAAAAAAAAACCCACCACGAAACGATTGAATTTATTTAGGAGCCCCTCGGAGAGTCGAGCGGCGCCTTCAAGAGCGCAGGCTGAGATTTGCGCGGAATCCTGACCGTTCTGACGGGCGCAAACGCGGGTCGAAAGGCGCCGCGTTTCCCACGCTCTTAAGAAGAGGGAGGCTGGCGGAGGTTTGACTGTGGGGGGGGGGGAGAGTCACTTCCAAAATGAGCTGCGCTCGGTGGGGTCCCGTTTGGGGGGGAGGGGTCTTTCACCCGGCAGCCCCCCCTCTCCCCACTCCCTCCAAAAACAGCAGCAAGAAGCAAAAAGACGGAGAGGTGCTTTTGGCTTTTATGCGTGGGTTTGCCTCCATCCTCTTCTTCCCCCCCCGCCCACCCAAGGTGCAAAAGATCCCGCGTGGGCTCTTTCCAACCCAGGACCTTTTGCGTGGAAGCCTCGGCTCCAACTCCTCCGGGCCAGGACTGAAGCTCCAGTTGGGGTCCTCCCTCCCCCGCCTCCCCCCGCCAACTCAGCCATCTCTCCGAGACCCTCTTCCTTGCCAGTGGGGAAGAAACACAGGACACCCCCCACCTACCCACCCACCAAAAATGCAGCGCCCTCTCTTCTGCGCCCATCCCAAGCAGGTGGGGGGGGGAGATTAACACCGCTTTTTTCCTTTCCTTTTTTTCTTTTTGTGTGTCAAATTGCACCTCAAGAGACCCTTCCTCAATGCGCTTTCTCTCTTTCTCTCTCTCTCTCCTGCCCCCCACCCCTTCCTGCAGATACAAGCCTTCCTCACCTCGCTATGGACTGTAATTGCGTCTCAGATCTGCTGCTCACCTCTCCTGTGCCAGCTCTCTGGACCCCAGGTAATCCGGACCCCTGGGGAGATATGAGCGAAGCCCCCCCCTCCCGGACCCTGCATGTGGGTTAATCCGTGAGCCAAGGATGCTGCGCGGTGGGTAGTGGGCATCTCCTCGGTGTGTTCAAGCCGCTTGGCCTCTGTCTAGCCGGGCCTGGCATGCTAGCGGGTTAGTAAATTGCCTTTCCTGATGTAAGGCTAGGCTTCCGACGGACCCTGGCTATGTTTTCACACAGCTGCTTGACCTGTTTACTGAATTAACTCCAAATCTGGGCCTGCACAAAGACTTTCAACCAGTAACCAAAAGGCTTGCGTTCACAAGCTGCTAAGCTGTGGCTCTTTATATGGTTGAAAGTACACACACACACACACACACACACACACACACACACACACACACGCTGACACTCTAGAAAGAGTACAGAGAAGAGCAACAAAGATGATTAGGGGACTGGAGGCTAAAACATATGAAGAACAGTTGCTGGAATTGGGTATGTCTAGTCTAATGAAGAGAAGGACGAGGGGGGACATGATGGCAGTGTTCCAATATCTCAGGGGCTGCCCCAAAGAAGAGGGAGTCAAGCTGTTCTCCAAGGTGCCTGAAGGCAGGATGAGAAGCAATGGATGGAAATTCATCAAAGAGAGAAGCAACTTAGAACTAAGGAGAAACTTCCTGACAATTAGAACAATTAACCAGTGGAACAACCTGCCTCCAGAAGCAGTGAATGCTCCAACACTGGAAGTTTTTAAGAAGAAACTGGACAGCCAATTGTCTGAAATGGTGTAGGGTTCCTGCCTGAGCAGGGGGTTGGACTAGATGACCTCCAAGGTCCCTTCCAACTTTATTATTAGTATTAGTATTAACGGTATAGGGTTTCCTGCCTGAGCAGGGGGTTGGACTAGATGACCTCCAATGTCCCTTCCAACTTTATCATCATCATCATCATCATCATCATCATTATTATTATTATTATTATTATAATATGTTATTGGTTTTAATAGGTTTAGGGATAAAATGGGGTCGGGATTAGGACTGGGGTTTTCCCAGGTAACATTTTCAATATGTAGCGAACAGCATATTTTCTGGGTACATGTATTTAACTAAGAATAATAGATGTAGTTAATTATCATAAACAGTATTAATCACTCAGTAGCCTTCTTACTAATATATATTCAAAATTACATGTCACATTCCTTTCTCTCTGACTCATTTTTATAGCCATTGATGAAAGGTATCCCACCTTCTAAAATACACTGAGTCTTCTTTCTCTTTAATCTCTAAAGTCAATCTATCCATTCCTGCACACTCTAGAATTTTCTTAATTAGTACTTCTTCTAAAGCTAACCTGGTTCAAAGTGACCACAGTTAGAACGGCTGGCAAGGGCAACTCCCTTTGGTTAAGATGCGGCCTGAACCCACGTGAGACCATCTAGACACGAGGAGTCCCCAACTAGCAACAGTTTGTTTAGTGACTGTTTGAAAAAAAAAGACTTACAACTGTTTTTCACAGTTGTGACCTTTGCAGCTTTCCCGGGATCATGCGATCAAAATTCGGATGCTTGACAAGGGGTTCCTATTTGTGACTGTCGCTGTGTGTCCCAAGGTCACGGGATCCTCTTTTGCAACCTTCTCACAAGCAGAGACCTTGGGGAAGAAGCCAGATTCACGCAATAACCGTGTGGCTAACTTCATAACTGCAGCGAGTCACTTGACCGCGTTGGCAAGAAAAGTCGTAAAAGGGGGCTAAACGCGCTTAACAAACACCTCACTTAGCAACAGAAGTTTTCGGCTCAGTTGTGGTCGTAGCTCGAGGACTACCTGCACTGGGTTTAAAAAAATACTGGTAGTTGGGGCTTGTCTGACCAGGAGTGGCCCCATCCTATTCTCACCTGCAAGGGCTCTGCACTTGGTGGGTTCAGGCCATTAAGTGTCGGCTTGCTCAGCTGTCAAATTTGGTTTGGCTTAATTTCCTTCCTATGCTACATCCTAAGCCAGTGATGGCGAACCTTTTAGAGACCGAGTGCCCAAACTGCAACCCAAAACCCACTTATTTATCGCCCGGGTGCCAGGTGGGCGTTGCCCACTGGGTGGGCGTGGCTGGGGTGGTCATGGCAGACTGGGTGGGTGTGGCCAAGGTGGGCGTAGTCACCTCGATGTTGCTTGTGGGGAGGGACACCTGTGGGGGCCGGGCAGGGTTGGGAGAGATCCAGGGGGTCTCTGACAGGTGGGGCAGTGTGCAGGAGGCTCGACCTGCCAGGTGAGGCAAGGCAAGGCGAGGCAGGGTGGGGGTGCTATTGTCGCAGGGCAAGGTGAGGCAGGGGCCAGGGTGGCTGCTGCCTGACACCATCGGTCCCCACATACAGAGGCCAGTGAGCGCATGGGGGCCGACAGTATCCGTCAGCAGCCACAGCCTGCCGGCCCCTCAACCAGCGCACTCTGGGGCTCCACAGTCCACGGCCAGCAGTTCAGAGAAGCCGCCTCTGAGCTGGTCAGCCGGCCGACAGCTGAGGAGGCGATGCAGTGGGTCACGCCCAGGAAAAGGAGAGCATGCGAGGCCAGGAGGGATGGGATGGAGGGGAGGGAAACCAGCCATGGTGGGATGCATCCTGCCACGTGGGACCTCAGCGAGTAAGCGGGTGGTTGGTTGAAGAGGGACAGTTGCCATCTCCGGGGCATGGCACGCGTGCCCACAGAGAGGGCTCTGAGTGCCGCCTCTGGCACGCGTGCCATAGGTTCGCCACCACTGTCCTAAGCCCTAAGTTGCAAACTGGAATTTATGCTGTTTGTATGTGACGCATGTGCAAACCTAGAGTAGATAAGCAGAGCTTCTGCCTTACTTTTAGTAAGTTTAGATTGCAGGTTTTCAGTCCCTGAAAACTTGCAAGCTTTTCTTAGCAAGGGAGGACATTTTCTAGGCGGAAAATTGAGGGGTTTTCTGATGTGGACATCTTAAGACTTCTCTCTGCCTGGGTTCACTCAATTAACCCACGGTTAATTTAATCGTGGTTTACAATCCTCAATTAACCCTCTTTTCCCGAGTTTGCCTGGCATTACACACTGGTTGATTCCGACAACACGTTCAAATTGGTTACTGAATTAACTCCCTTTCTAGATTTCCACAATAGTAACACTGAAGTCACACAACATGTCAAGTCACTGCCCTCCCGAAAGAAACCAGGTTTCCAGCTAACCAAATCTAGCCTGTTGTAAGAATGCAGCAGCAGGAGTTTTAACTGATTTGGTTATACATGTTATCTGAATCTCCCACAGGCACAGAAAACCTACCAGATCTGGTGCATTGATGCACTTGTCTATCTAGTATAGTGTTAAACTAGTTGAAATATTGTTGTTATTAATAATAATACAACTGAAAGATACACTCGGATCTTTTTGAATTGTCACCCTGAAATTGAGAATGCAAAATTTGTGTTTTGAGATTTCAGGTTTGAATATTGAAAAGAACTATTATCTGAATATAAAATCTATTTTATTACTATATACTCATACAGGGAAAAAAACACTCTTTTGAACACTTGGCATGTCTTAATATTTTTAGGGATGAAATATGACACCTAGCCAGCTATATCAATTTTATCCAAAACACCCAAACCTGTTATGCCATCGCAGGCCAACTCGTCAAATGCCACTCTTTTTGAACATCAGTATTTTGAAACAGCAAATCTAAAATACTGATGCATTCAGTCCTGTTGTTTTCAAGGATCAACTTGTATAACTAAATGCACAACTAAACTGAAATCCCATCCCGCACCTTTTAATTACTAATTTAGTGATTTAAAAGACAGGCCTCATTTTTCTTCACCAAAATTAAAGCATTTCCAGGCAATATAATTACTAAGAAAAAGTCAGCAGACACACTTAGAAAAATATGATTTCTTTTTCTAATACAACAAAATAAAGCCATCTCTTTCCCCAAATTAAGTAAATATTATGATTTTAGGAAGCACAGGGAAAAAAATAAGTTTTCAAGGGGAAAACCTGGTATTGTATCGGGAGCATAATCTCTCCCACACTGGAGGAAACCCAGCCATGGTGACATTTTAAAAATTTGATTGGCGTGAAGGAGAAAAAAAAAATTACAAATTTGGTGCCTAGCTGGCTGTTGAATGGATGCCGGCTGCTAAGAGTTATTTCTTTAAAATATTTCTCTGCCACACTTTGCTTTCTTAGGCTTGATGTCAAAGGCATGCATCAAATATCTAGTGGCTCTTTAGCAATATATATGTGTGTGTGTGTGTGTGTGTGTGTGTGTGTGTGTGTGTGTGTGTGTTTTCTCTGAGGTCACATTGCTGCTCGAAGCACGAAGCTGAAAACACCAGCCTGAAGATGACGAATGGGACTTCGTCGAAACGTCACCAAGACACTTCCAATTTTACGCGGGAGAAAACCCGAACAACCAAAGACATATATATATATATATATATATATATATATATATATATATATATATATATATACGGTTAAAAAGGTTAAAAATATGAACCCTGGGAGTATACATAGTAAAGAAATAAAATGAACACCAGGGTAATATAATAATACCCTGGTGTTCATTTTATTTTTTACTTTATATATCTATATATATATATATATATATATATATATATATATATATATATATATATATATATATATTTCAACCGTCTGGGAACATTTAGCAAATGGAAAAACTGTTCAGAAGGTTCCAGAGCCATTGCCTCTAAATAAATACATAAATAAAATTGGCAACTCTATCTTGGTGCTGATAAGAGAAGGACTGGCTGCTGCAGAGATCGCAACTGGAGTGACTTGCCGAGGAAATGCCAGGCTGCCCTAGCCGATTGTGTGGCTTGCCTGCTGCCAGTTAGCAGTAGACAAACATTTTCCAAACAGCGATTAATTGTACCCTTTCCCTCCAAGCTGTGGCTCCCCCAGGAATCCAGATAGCTGTGAAGTTGATAGCTCCCAGCTGAAGGCTGGGGGCAATTGCGACAATCAAAGAGAGCTGTTTT